TTTTAAAATCATTTTTTGTGTTTTGGCTGTGTTGGAATATTCAGGACTTGCTGTGGTGGGATAGCTGGGCACTGGTGGTGACATATTACCCTGGCTATTATTATTTGTGTTTGTATACTTATGTTTAGGCATCTAGATTTGGAGTTATTATAAGTCTAAGTCAATTTCTGGGTTTGTCTTTGTTGGACATGTGTTTTCTTCCTTGGTTTCTGTTTCCTCTCTGATCTTCTGGCTGCCATGGCCTGTGGTTGAGTAGAGGGTCTCTGCCCAAATTGGGGACTGGACTTCTGATGGCCTGGGTGGTCTCTGGTCCAGCAGGGGGTTGCTGCCCAAGTTTGGTGCTATGCGCATGGCCTCTGATCTGCCCAGGGTTCCTCTAGGAGGCTTCTGCCTGGTTCTCAGGAAGTTAGCCTGGTCTCCAGGATGCTGGTCTGGCCTCTGAAGTTCAGAATGCTGATCTGGCCTTTGATGGTATAGAAGGCTTCCACCAGAGGTGTGGGCTGGGATATGGTGATGAGGACAGGAAGGGAAGTTGGAGTTATACTGAATGAACACAGGTGGGGTGTGGGGCAGTCTTATCTAGTTTTCAGGATGGTAGCCTGGCCTCTGGTGAAAGGGATGCTTCTGCTAGAAGTGTGGGCAGGAATGTGGTAGAAAGAAAAGGAGGGGCAATTGAGGTTGTGTTGGGCAAGCACAAGCAGGTTGGAGGGGTGGTCTTACTGGGGTTCAGGATGCTGAACAGGCCTTTGGTAGAATGGGAGGCTTCTGCCAGAGATGTCAGCAGTCTGCCTTTTAATTGGAGAATTGAGACCCTTGATATTTAGGGTTATCACTGATGATATATATTGATTCTTGTCATTGTGTTGTTTTGTGTTAGTTAAGTCTTTTATAATCTTCATATCTACTATTCTAGTGAGATTTATTCTTGCTTATATTCTCATGGTGGTCTTTATTTTCTATTGTGTATGTAGGATTCCATTAAGAATCTCCTACAATGATATTTTAGTGGTCATGAATTCCTTTAGTGTATGTTTATTGTTGAAGGTCTTCGTTTCTCCTTCAATTTTGAAGGATACTTACACTGGATACAGTACAAGGTTTGCAATGATGTTATTTCAGGACTTGAAGTGCATCACTCCATTCCCTTCTGGAGTTAGTATCTGTAGAAAAATCTGCTGTTATTCCAGAGGGTTTATCTTTGTATATGACTATGTGTTTTTCTTTGCAACTTGAATTCTTCCTGGTGGTTTCACTGTAACATAAAGTTGGGAAGAATAGTCCTTTCTGCATCTGGATACTGAACTCGTTCCCATGCTTTGGGAAATCTGCTGTTACTTTATGAAATACACTCTCTGTGATTTTAGCTTGTTGCTTGTTTCTTTTTTCTTTCTTCTATGTCCATGACTCATTAGTTTAGCCCTTTAATGGTATCCCAGAAGTATTCTTTTCTACTTTCTGCCTGTGCAGCAGGTCAGTGCTCCCCAACCTCTGGGTCTTGCCTTCCTGCAACTTAGCTCCTGCATAGAATCCCTAGCAGTAACTAGCTGCTCCTGCCACACCCCACTTCCTAGATTTCTAAGTAGATGGCTTTCCTAAATGACTGCCTTAAACAGGAAGTACCTGTCACTTCTTTAGAGGACTTTGACTAGTTTCCCACATGCACAGCTCCCCCTGTCTCTGACTCAAAGCCCTTCCCCTGTAGCTATGATACTTCTTTAAACCACGACATGATGAATGAACAGCTGATCCTTTCTGGGAGTTCCCAGAGACAGAACCGTGCCGGAACCTTTGATTTTTTAAAGCTACAGACTCTCCAAATGGCTTCCGGCCACTGCACCAGACCAGACCAGATGCCAGGAAGGGAGTATTTCACCAGTGCCAATTTGCTGTGCAGGCTCCAGGCCTCCTGTCGAATTAAATTCTAATTCTGATCAGCACTGAGGCCACTGTTGTATTTCTAGATCTCTCTCTCTCTCTCTCTCTCTCTCTCTCTCTCTCTCTCTCTCTCTCTCTTTCCTTCAGTCCTTGCCATCTCATACTGCACATTCAGTTGAATGTTGTTGGTGTTTTCTCCTTCTGTATATTCCAGCATATAGGAGAAACTGGAAGTGATAGTACTGGTGTTATAAATGACTTACTAATGTGTTTGATTAGGAGACATTAAGTCACAAAAGTGAAATTTATTTCAAGGAGCGCAATCTCCAAAATACCCCAAGGATAAGTAGTTTGTTAACCAGGTCTGTTAGAGAGAAAGGAAATTTAGGATACAAGGATACAACTGTTCATTCACCAGGATTGACCAGCCATATAAACTCCATCCTCATCACAAAGGAAACAGAGACTTAAAACCAACCATTGGGCCCAGGTCCCATAACAACAACAACAACAACAAAATACCTCTAATGGGCCGTTCAAGAAGCTTAGGAGTCATAACCATCATTAAGTCCCAGTCTGCCATTAAATCCCCTGTGCTCTTATCAGGAAATACATAATTCTTCTGGGTGGGCCAGATGACTCAGGGTAAGAGCTAGTCAAAAAAGAACAACACTGGTGTACCTAAAATAATTCTGGAAATACTCAATATCTCTGCTGTGTAAATCTCCTATCTTCCTAAGTGACCAGACTTTGCAGTCTCCTGTCTCTTTGTAAATTGTTCAAAGTGTAACCTCGAGGCCAGACCTAAAAGAGACTTAATGATGGCAGTGTTTGTGAAATGCATAAGCCTAAGGTGAATATAAGTTAGTAAAATCTTCTGTTCAAGGACAACTCTCATGTGAGCATTAGCCAAGATCTCCCATGTGCTAGTAGCGAAATTTCCCCTTACACTCCTGAGTTCACAGTCATTTCTCACCATGAGGTGGGGAGGAGCATATTCTTCCAACAGAAGAGGGGAGAGCAGAGGCCACAAAGAGAGGAATTGGTGATTTCTTTTTGCTTTTAAGTTTGACCATTTTCAACTGTATATTTTAGGACAGTATTTTTGGTGGACCCAAATTTAAGAATGCTGTTTCTTCCAAAATAGTTGGGTCTTTAATGACTAAGAAGTCCTGTCTCTAATACAACTAATGCACCAAAGTCGCTACATTTCATTGTATTAATGTAGTATATCTTTTTCAATTTATTATCCCTGTTTTTCAGTTGCATCTTTAAAAAATTAAATGGGATTGTTTGAATCCAGTCTAATGACCCCGGTCTTTTTAATAGAATATTTAGTTCATTTACATTAACTACTGTGTAGTTCTTGAATCTTTTGTATATATATCTACCACATTACACTGCATGCTTTGTCTTTCAATCCTATTTTTCTTTGTTTAAAGGAAGTATTATTTTTTGTACAATCATTTTAATTTAGTTGCGTATTTACTCATTTTACTTTTCATTTTTTTGTATCTTCCTTTTTTCTAGCTGAGCCTCTTTTTCTTCTGCACAAAGAATGCTGTTAGATTTCTGTTTTGTGTAATATTGCCAACAACAAGTTTCCTTCTGGTTGTGTAAAATGTCTTTATTTTGCTTTAACCTTAGAATGATATTTTTCAATATATACAATGTTACATGGGCAATTATCTTCTTTCAGTATGTCATGAATATCATTCTACTGACTTCTTACTTTCTTTTTCTTTTCTTCTGTTAAAATTCAGTTCATTAATCTTTTTTTCCATGTAACATTTTTATTGATTCTCTGGGAGTTTCAAATCATGCACTCAGAACACAATCCCTTCCTGGTCCTTCCGTGTCCACCCCCAGCACATTGTGTCCTCCCCCTTGCCTCCAAAGAAGTTAAAAAATTTTAAATTAAAATTTAAAAAAAAGAAAGTCCACTTTGTGTTATCTATATACTCACTGGAGCATGGTCAAATTCTTAGTAGTCCACCCCTTAAATATAACTGAGTCCTTCACACCTCCACCAGAAGCTATCAATTGTGGAGAGCTATTTTTCAACATCACCATCTCACTTTTTAAGTTTCAGTGGCTTCCTATCTAGGTTGTTACTTTGCGGGGAGTGGGAGTTGTCACATAAACTTTCCATGTCTCTTCTCAATTATGTTTCTGCAGTCACCAATATCATGGCAAAAGCACCCTCCTTGCTCTTCAAAGTCAGCAAGAGCATAGATCATGGGTCTCCACTTAGGTTTTGACCACAGCACAGACCATGATCATCATCCCCTGCTGCAGTAGGACCACAGACCCAGACAAGGCCTTAGGAGGCTGCCCAAACCATGGACATCAGCATGGCCTCAGGTGGTAGCACAGGCCACCCACATGAATATGGCCCCAGGCAGCCGGCAGCACAGCCCACAAACTTCAGTGTGGCTTCAAGCTGCAGCACAGACCATGGACATCTGCATAGCCACCAGCAGTAACACATGCCACAAACATCATCCTGGCTCCCAGCAGGGCAAATCAGGTGGGACATGGGTGGTCACAGGCCTGGCCAACTCATGCGGGATGCTGGCTCTTCTTCCAGGCACACCTGCCCCAGGGGCTTAATCCATTTATCTTAATGGTTTTATTTTCAAGATAGTCTAACTTTCCCTCAAATTACTTGCCTTTGATCGTCTATGACTTTTGAAATGATGGGTTTTATTAGATCTTTCTTTTTCTTTATGATATTTTTAAATCTTTGGTTAATTTCTTTTAGAATTGTTAGAAAGTAATCACAAATTATTTCTTCAAATATTTCTCCTATTTTCCCTCCTCTCTAGACTTTCCCTCTTTCTTTCTTCTTCCTCCTCTTCCTCTTCTATTAAAAATATGCTAGTGCATACCAATGATTCCTCTGTTGATTTTTACTTCTTTTTTGTTTTTTGTTTTCTATCTTTCAATCTGGAATTTTTCTTTTTTTATATTTTTTTAATTGAGAAAAAAATTTTATTCATTTTACATATCAAAGATCCCCCTCTTCCCTCCTCCCATCCCCTCAGTCTCCCCCTCCCAACCCATCCCCTATCCCTCCTACAAGAAGGTGAGGCCTCCCATGGGGAGGCACATTTAGTAGAGACAGGTCCAAGCCTTTCCCCCTGCCCCAAAGCTGTGCAAAGTGTCCCATCATAGAAGTGGGCTCCAAAAGGCCTGCTCATGCATCAGGGATAGACTCTGATCCTACTGCCAGGGGAACCCCCAAGAAAATTATGCTACACAACTTTCTTGCTATACAGAGGGGCCTAGTCCAGTCCCATGCAGGCTCCACAGCTGTTGATCTAAATTTCATGAGTTCCCATGAGTTTGGTTTGGTTGTCTCTGTAGGTTTCCCCATCATGATCTTGATGCCCCCTTGCTCACAGAATCCCTCTTCTCTCTCCTTGACTGGGCTCCTAGAGCTCGGGCTAGTACCTGGCTGTGGATCTCTGCTTCTGCTTCCATCAGTTACTGGAGAAAGGCTCTATGATAAGTTAGGATACCCACCATTTGATTACTGGGATAAGCCAGTTCAGGCACCCTCTCCTTGTGGATTCCTGAGAACTTCCCTAGCACCCAGTTTCTCCCTATCCCCATGATGTATCCCTCTATCATAGTATCTCTTTTATTGCTCTCCCACTCCATCTCTGTTCCAGCTCGACCATCGCATTCCCTTATGTTCTCATCCCCCATTCCTACTTTCTATTGGCCACCTCTCATCCCTAATTTACTCATGGAGATCTCATCTCTTTCCCCTTCCCAGGGTAGTCTATTCATCCATTTTTGGGTCCTCCTTGTTAGCTAGCTTTTCTAGAGCTACAGGTTGTAGTCTGATTATCCTTTGCTTTACATCTAGTAACCACTTATGAGTGAGTACATGCCATGTTTGTCCTTCTGAGTCTGGGTTACCTCACTCAGGATGATATTTTCTAGTTCCATCCATTTGCCTGCAAATTTCATGATGTCATTGTTTTTCACTGCTGAATAGTACTCCATTGTGTATATGTACCACATTTTCTTTATCCATTTTTTGGTTGAGGTGCATCTAGGGTGTTTCCAGGTTCTGGCTATTACAAATAACACTGATATGAACATAGTTGAGCATGTGTCCTTGTGTTATAATTGAGTATTCCTTGGGTATATGCCCAAGAGTGGTATAGCTGGGTCTTGAGAAAGATGGATTCCCAGTTTTATGAGAAACCGCCATTCTGATTTTGAAAGTGTCTGTATAAGTTTGTACCTCACCAACAGAGGAGAAGTGTTCTCCTCACACCACATCCTCTCCAACATAAGCTGTCTTCAGGTTTTTTGATCTTAACCATTATGACAGGTGTAAGATGATATCTCAGAGTCATTTTGATTTGCACTGGAATTTTTTTCTAACATATATTGCAATTAACTGACTCTTTTTCAGCTGTGTCTAATCTTAAGAGACATCATTCAATAAAGATCTTGAGTTAAAATATACTTTCAGTTATATAATTTCATATATTTAGTTTTTCAGACCTGTTGTATCAATTCTATAGTTTCTTATTTTCTGTCTGTAATACTTATCTTGTTTTAATAAATTCAATTTATACATATATTTAAGCCTATGCCTGGTATTTTCAATATATATAAATTCTATGATTCTTTTTCTTTGGTCATGTCCTTGCCCATGTTAATTTTGTCTTGTTACACATCTAACTATCTTTGATTGTGTACTAGATACTATATTTGAAAAATTACTTATTTGTAGAAATAATTGAAAACCTAGAATGGCATTATCTTCCCCCACAAATGATTTTTCATTTGATATTACCAAAAATCTGAGAGTAGCAATGTAGGATTATTTTAACCAGTTTTATATACTGAGACATGCTGATGTCCTCAGTGGCACAAATGGGCTGGAGTCTTGGGTGTTGTTGTTGTTGTTGTTGTTGTCATTGCTGTTATACTTATAATTTACTCATTTTCCTACAATATAGCCTTCTAGAACTCCAACCCAAGTTGGGAGTGGTTTTCTAGTGCTTATAAGTCTAGTTGTTTTGTTGTATTTTTTTTTCTCCTGAGCACTGAGCATTTGATTATCTTTCTGGTGCCTTGGGCAGCAGATTCCTGCCGTTGTTTAGCTTTTCTAGTCCTCAGAAGTGTTCTTGTCAAATTAATAGCTATCCCACCAATTCTGACATTAACCCATCCGTAACACATGAATGTTCTTCTACTTTCTGACTACAGATAGGCTACCCCTACCTTTTCCTTAGAGACAAGTGACTAGCAGAGGAAATTGAGTGAGTTAGTTCATATTCTTAGACACTCAGTATAAGTATTAATACTGCATAAGTACCTAGAAGACTCAGCTTCATGTTGTACCTTACTGTGGCTACATGTCATAGCACTAACTGGGCAACTAATTAATTACATCTCAGTTGTTGCAAATTTATTCTGTCTTCTCCTTTTCACCTAAAGATATTCCCTGCTGTCTGTGCCTTCCAGGAATGGGTTGACATCTCACTCACTCATATAGTCCTAATTTGTGGGAACTCTGCATATAGAGCCAAACCTTAGCACTTGCTAGTGTTCCTTGGGTCCCTCTTACTGGCCAGGGTAAATTGATAACCATACTATATCCTCTTTTTCAGATATTCTGTACTCCACCTAATACATCTCCAAAGCTAACCATAGGCTGAGTATCTAAATATAAATTACTAATATTGTCAGGACACCATCAAGGAAGCTCCTCCACACTCACCATGAGACTGTCTCCTGCAAAACTGTGTTTGGTCCTAGATTTGCCCATGAAAAGCTGTTCTAGCAGACCTCAGTTCTAGCCATGTTTATCCTCACCAATTCCTCTCATGGTCTCCTTCTCTACACCAAGTCCTATGTAAAGGTGACCTGACCACAGCACCAAGTGAAGGACCTGAGTCACAATGAGGAGGGACCTTGAAGCATTCACTTACTACTCTTTCACTGACTGACTAATTTACTCTTCATGACATGAGACTTGGAAGTGAGGGAAGAAAGTAAGACAAAATAGTATCTAATTAGCAATGAATTAACCACTCAAGAAACAACTGGGTTTACTCCTACCAAGTTGACTTTTCAACATTTACTCCTTAGAAATAATACTAGATCTAAGAGAATAATCTATACAGCATTTGGGATACAAACATGATGCCGTATTCCTAGGATAATCTCTGTAATGAACACAGTGCTCATTTTTATGTAAGACTGTGTCTGTGGAAGCTCTCCTTTATTTATTCACTGAACAAACATTTATTTAGGCAGGCTATGAGCTGGAGATACAGAGAAAAGGGCCCAGTGGTGTTCCCCTCAAGGGGTTCCCATCTCTTGCAAATTGTTTACAATGTACTATGCTAAGGGTTATGGGGGAAAGGAGCATGCAGAGAATAGATGCTGAGTCTGGACAAGGGGGAGAAGAAGTGACAGAAGCCTTCTGAAGCATCAGTACTGGTCAAAATGTGACAGCCAGACAGCCATTTCCTTCAGACACTGTCCATTGGCTTTATAGAAATATTTTCAAACAGCAAAAGCAAACCTCAGCTCCATGGGTCTGAGTGATTGCTACCTGAATTAGTGGAGTTTGCATTAATGAGATTTAATATGGCCATATTTTTCATTATAGTCAAATGAATCCATGCTTGATTATGAGGTCTCTATTATAACAATTGTGTGTTTTGTTTATTAGCCCACCTGCCCAGTTTCACATTAAATGTAAATATATAGAGATAGATATAATATGGACATATAACCGTTATTAATATATCATATGCAATAATATATAATATTATTAATATTGCATAAGTTGCCTAAAGACTTCCAAAAGTCCCATTAGGAGACCTGTCTAGCCATACACTCTATTTTCTATGACATTTCTCTGTTTACTTACCAAGCAGTAAATCAATGGACATTTAATCATATAAAACTGTGTGCCTGATCCTTGGGCATTTTATATTTTTATAGAGCATTCCCATTTTAAATATACTTATAATATACATGAGTAGAAAGGGGATATTTTTATTATAATCTAGGCAACATGCATTGATTTATTCTACAAAACATCAGTGGATCTTGAGGATGTGCCAAGAATTACGATACACACCAGAACCCCTGAGCCAGCAGGACAGATGGACAAGCCACAGAAGGCTACAGTGTTAGATGTGAAGAGGGGAGCTAAGATTTCCTTGGCAACAGCAAGTAAATGGCCACAGATTCTGACTGTGCTTGGAGCCTCTGCCACTCTGGTCAGGTTGATATTTGTATGCCTTCCATGACAACGACCCATCCAAGGGGTCTTGCTAGCTTCTGTCACCTAACTGGATCAAATCTATGGTTAAGAACTTAGTTCAGAGGGGAAAAATAAAACCAATCTCTGTGTTGGTCACCAACCTTCAAAGGGATGAGCACCCAAACTATGACCAAATTAGGATGATGGTAATTAACTGGATATATTATATTCTCTGTTTGAATTTTATGAGCTAATTAAAAATATCTCCACAGAAATTATACCAACAACAGTAATTCTTTCTTGGATTGGCCCAAATGAGCAGGAGCTTCAAATTTTTTGAAGTTCTTAAACCAGACAAAGAAGAGGGAATGTTTCTCATTAATAGAAGGAACCAGGAGTTCTTACCAGTCAGGGCCAGATGCCAGACTGGTCCTGGATTTTGAAAGGCCTCACAAGACTTCATTCCATCATAGCCTCATCTAGCCCTGATCTCTCTCATATTCTTGCTCTTGGAAGCCCAGGATGATGCTGGTCTGAACCCCAACTCCCCAATGTCAATGGAGTATTCAATTTTCACTCTAAAATCCCAGACTAAAGTGGTGGGAAAGGCTGACTTGCAAGGGCTCTGGTCTTGGGATTCAGGAATTCAGGGGGCCATTATAGCTGTCGGTTCTCATCTCTGACACATACCTCTGGGTTGAATCTTGTGTTCAGAAGGACATGAAGGATCTTGCTGTTGGCAAATTAGTCACAGCAACAAGAAAGGAGTGACTCAGAAGGTACATGGCTGCAGACAAGGGTTGTAGTGGCCAGGAAGGGCAAGAAGCCTCTCCAGAGGGAAGCAGGATGCAGATCTACCTTAGTGTCCCAGAAGATGAGACTGTCCATCCTTACCTTCCACCTTCCTCCCACACTCTGGTTCCCCAGATCTGGGTCAAGACAAGTGGGCATGTGAGAAGCATGAGAGTGCAATGTGACAAACCTCAGGTGACAAATGGGGGAAAAAAGGCCACAGGACAGATTGTTCCCCCAGGTGACACTGTAAACTATGCCCATACTTTATTCAAAAGGAGTCCATTTTTATGCAAATACTCACAGGAGAGGAAAGGTCAAGTAGAGACAGTTGAGGGAAGAAGAGCATTCTCTTCTATCCTCACCCCAGTTGAGATGATAATTCTTTCTGACATTGCCCTCTCCCCATCAAGTTAAAAAGTTGGGATCCAAGGCTTCCATGTTGGATGTTGAGACTTTAGATGGCCCCACCTAAGTTACAGAAACACTGACTTTTTTTTTCAGAAGGACCAGAGCTCCTAGGGGGATAACCAGCTTAATGGCATTTAGATACCAAACCCATACACCTTCTGAGGTCTCTAACCCTTGCAGGCTGTCATGCATGTCCCTTTCTCCCTCCCCTGATCTCTATCTCCATCTCAGGACCCTGGGAGGTGAGCAGTACTAACTTGATGTGTATTTCATGCTAAGATAATCAAAACTCATGCACATGTGACAAGATATCATCAATGCCTTAATCTAGAGAATTCCAATCAAAGTTTTATTTGAAAGAAAGAAGAGAAGGTCTGTTTTGAATGATGGGAAGCAGAGATGCCCCTTGGGATTCCAAAATCAAATGTACAAACAATCCTCTCCCTCTCTCGACAGTGCTGATTAGGACCTGACCTCATTCTGAGGCCACCACCCCATGCTGACTCTGCAAGTCCTGGGAATCCTTAATTCCACAAGTTATTGTCTCCTTCCCAAATGGCTATGCCCTTTAAGGCAACTCTCTTGAAGGAAAGAAGAAAGGCAGAATTTTTAGGAAGCATTCTCCCTGGAGGCATGACCAGGGCTAGCTCCTGGAATTCGTTTTCCAGCTAAGCACTTTAGTACCCTGTTTCTTGTGGTTATTAGCACAAGTGACAACAGCCTTTTCCTCCCTGAGCCACGAAGATTAAGGAAACCTAAGACTACATTTCTAAAATTGTTTCCATTTCAACCCACAGAGAATCAATACAAGAGAAGAGCATTGCCTTAAACGCTAATGTTATCCAAACTCAAATTCATTTTTGATGGATCGGTGGCTGTGTTTTCTTAAGGCCAGACCAGGATAAATATACACATTTTTTGAGATTCTTTTTTCTCTCCTCACTCCCCTCCCCTACACAGACAGTGCGGTAGTGAATGATACCCTCATGCCCAGTTGTCCCTGAAGGACGCAGTCTGTATGGGGGGAATAGGAGAGTATTTCCAGTACAGAGGCCCCAAGGCTCTGCCCAGGCTGTCAGTTCACATTGACCATATGACTCTAGTCCCCAGTTTGATGGGGGTCAGAGCACATACTATGGAAAGCCTCAGACATAGAATTCAGGTACAGACTAACTCTACTCATAGCCTTCTCCATACAACAAGGCTCCCTTGATCCCAGCCAGCACAGTATACGCAAGTGCAGATGACTATAGTGCTCGTAATCAACCATTGCTTGAAGCAAGAGAGTGGACAAAAACCCAGGTTCATCCTTTCAGGCTTGACATCAATCACTGTTGGCCTTTCATGGCTGTTTAACTCCCCTCTTGTGCCCAGAAAAACTCATTCTCATCATGTTATTTGGGAGTCAGCTAAGGCGGTTCTTCCTCCAGGAAACCCTCTTTCCATGACCCCCTCTCTGAGTTGGTACTTTCTTCTGTCTCTGTGTTATTCCCTGGGCATGCCTGCATGCCAATGTGGGTTTCCAGAACAGCAAGTGGCTGTTTATATATATAATGTTGGTATAGCTCAGTAACTCAAATCTGAACCACCAGAGAGCAAAGTCTACATCTGACACAGCAGCAGTTAAGACAGTGTTGGCCAGGGTTCTCTGAAAGAATAATGGATGGAAAGAACATATATTATGAAAGGAGACTGATGGCATGGGCTTGTGATAGGACCTCAGTCATCCAACAGTGGCCATCTGCAACTGGAGAAGCTAAGAACCCACTAGCTGCTCAGTCCACAAAAGCTGGGTGCCTCCGTAGTTGTAATGTGGCACTGAAGTTCCGGATGATGCCTGAAAAGTCACTAGTCCTCGGGCTACCTGGAAGGACCAAGGAAGTGGGTTCTAACAGCAGCAAAGGGCAGATGCACTCACAAGCAAGAAGTAACTACAGACATGCACCACTGCTTTTCCCTCATAACTCTTTAGGCCTCAGCTGCTGTCAGGTTCCATCACTCTGGAGGAGTCTTCCTGAAAATGCTTCCATAGCCCCACTGGGAAGTTCATCTCTCAGGTGATTCTAGAGACAATCAAGTGGGCCACCAAGAAGAGCCATTACAGACACAATGCCTAGACCATTTACAGGAGAAGGATAATTGAAGGGACTATAAAGCAATGACTGTCTGGTGAAAGTCCCAGCTTGCCCCTGGTACCCAATTAGCAACCAGTACTCTGTTCTCATTTCTGAGATATTGAAAAATGAGACGTTGATATCTTTTTTCTGACCTTTTCTTCAGGGCTTGGCCATGCGATTTGCCTTGGCCAGTGGACCTTAGCAACTGTGATGTGAACAGAGGTTTGGCCACTTCTTTCTCAAGGAAACCTGCCCTCGCTTCCTGATGGGACCCTCTGACTACCATTGTAGACAAGCTAAAGCTTCCTACAGAAGTCTGAGAGCTATCTTGACCCCCTTTGCCATCTTGCATTTGGTCTGTGTTAGCATTCAGACATACTTCTTGGAATCCTGGTCAATGAACAGATAATACCCTGGCCTGCCCAGTGTCCTGACGTCATCCCATGTTCCCATTCCCTTTAAGAAAGGACTCCTCACTCGCTTGCTTCCTCTTCCCTGTCTCACCACAAAGCAGCACCTCCCCCTCCCTTCTCCTCCCCTCTCTCTCTCCCTCCCCTCTCTCTCTGTCTCTCTCTTTCTCTTTCCCTCCCCTCTCTTTTCTTCTCCCCTCTCTTGCCCCCACCAAATAAAACTCTCCGCTGAGCACTGTCTGCATGGCGTCTCTGTCTTTCACCCACCGCTGTGGGGCACCTTGGCTCCCCCCGCCAAGGCCCCTCTCTCCATATATCATAATGGTGTAGACTGTCATTATTGCACTGATGAGGCAGTGGACTTTTGCCACATGCCTGCCTCTCCTTCTAGCACTTTTTGTGGGGTAGCCAGTCCTTCCAAGTCTCTGTTCTAGACAGTCTTAGGGCTTGGTAATCATAGACTATCCTTTCTCATCCCGAAGGACTCAGGCAACACCTGGCTAACTGTTCAGATAGATTAAAATTACAAACAAGACACACAGAAGTAATTCTTTGCTCAGAAGGGCCAAGGCATTGTTGGTATTTTGACGCATTGGAGTCTGTCCTGAATAACCAGAAGATAGCTGAGAAAATCAACACCCAAGACATGTTACCATGTAAAACAAGCAAATGTAGACTTAACCTCACCACAAGAGTCCATAGAAATTTGGAGATGGATAAGTAAGGATGGGACACCAAATCATCAATCAACAAAGATGACAGGGGACTTCGGTTGGGTCACCATCAAGATCTCTACCTGAAAAATATAAAAAGTGAGACAAACATCAGAAATCAGAGTGAGTGACCTATGAAATAATCAGCAGTTAATCTAAGCTCCCTGTGACACTGTCTCTGACTGGTGAGTACAAAGAGAATCAAATAGAGGTGGTGTAGATGGAGATACAGCTAAGCTTGCTATGAAAGGATGCAAGTAGGGTGGTCACTGAGTGATGAACGTCCATGGATGCTTGAGCCTGGCCCAGGATGGGAGACTAGTCGGTTGTGATGTGGATAAAGAAAGAGAGTAGTGCTTGAGTAGAGGTGAGGAGCTAGCACTGGCCCCGTGCCTTATGTCGTAAGTAAACCTGGCTGAACTATAGATCTTACCCCCCCCCCAGGGAAAGACAAAGTGGAGGGAGGGGGTTCTGGCCTAATATGGGGACATATCACCCAAAAGAAAAGACTTAAGGCCAAATCCATATCACTCCCGCACTTTCTCACCTGACATGAGACATGAGCCCACATGCCTTCTTCCCTCCAGCTCTCTTGTTGGAGTGACACACTATTCTAGCCTTGGAAGTTATCCCATTCACCCTGAGAATCTTCTAGTTCACACTGGTGCAATCTCCTTATCTCCCTGATAGGCTCTGACCTGCCATTGCTTCTGCAACAGAAGTCCTGTTGCCTCCAGTTCTGTCCTGCTGGGTATTCCTTAGACTGTAAAGTCATACCAAAGTTCAATGCATTCTGTGTTGTCTTCCTTCTAATTACCTGGCTAGAACAAACCAATAAATTGTCACCATCACCATGGAGTCCAAGAAACTCTTGTTTAGCCTTTCCAGGCACAGTAGTAGTAGTCATTCTAGGTCGTTGGCATGACTATTTATATAGTGGGAGAAGACCCCAGAAATAACAGTGCTGATTGGAAGGTCAACTTCTTTGGAGTTTATCAGAAATTTAAATATTCCACCTTCCTGGTTGGAGAGAACCAGGAAGTAAGTGGAGAGAAGAATGGAGTATGAAAGCACCTTAGCACTGACCTAAGGCCAAGACTCCTCTTTCATGGCTAGCTGGAGCTGAGCTGAGAAGCAGGACTTTTAATCCTGGACATAGCTGGACTCCAGCATGCCCCACTGTCCTCATTAGGCTCTCCTTTTACATAAACATGTCACAGCATATTCAGTCCCATCTTAGAGCTTTAGAAGATGCTGAAAAGTTGGGGCCCACAAAATTCCCACAGAGACACTGAGTCATTATTCCCCTCTAAGAGTTCCTGATGCTAGTGTAGTACTGGAGAGCCCACCTCCTGCCTGACCTCTAGCCATAAGAGGGTCAGAAATGCTAGACCTCTTTCCCAACTGGTTCACCTTCTGGAGGATACAAGCTAGCAAGAGGCCACAGCATGGATATTTATTAAAGACATCACATTTTTATGCTTTGAGATGACTAATTTTATTACAAGCTAGATCTAAAATTTCTTCATTTTTCACTGACTCTCTTCCTCACTGTTTATAATCTAAAAGTAGCTACTAATTTTATATTATTAGAGGACAAAAGTGACACCATTTTTAGATGGGCTGTTTGGGGGCATCTGGCCAAGTACATGGAAGATCTGAGTGTGGTTATGTGAGTGCTTGTGACAAATAAGTATGGACAAACAAGTAACTGGCCAGGTGACTGAAAAGTCACATTCATTAGAATACCCTTGAAATAAAACAACTTTAGCCCAAGAAAAGTTTAATACCAAGCTCTTGGAGCATCTCAGCTTAGCAGATATTCTCAAGAATGAACTATGTGTTCATGCATTCAATACATTGGTTAAACAGCTGCTATGTGTAGACAGAGTGCTATGCCTGGCCACAGAGTCAGGGGACAAACTTGGTAAGAGCTGGACAATTTGAACCAGTGGTGGACACCACCAAAGAGAAGGATGCAATCAGACAGGAGAGAGGAAGGAGGACTCTCTTTGCACATCACTGCCAGATTGAAACAGTGGACGGAGAGAAGTGAGACAACCATCACCCACACCCATGGTGCCACAACTGTCTAACCCACTAGCAAGTCCCAGCTCCTCTTCATCTTGTCACCACTACCCTGAGTTGGTTTCATAGTGGCATCACAAACAGCCATTTAGTTAGTGAGACTTAAGGCCAGTGGGTATGTAAAAAGATCCAGTACACTCACTCAATCTCTGCTTTCCCCAGTGGAAATGTCCAATGAGAAGACAACTACCACCGCCTGCACCACTGTCTATACATATGCATGCACATACATGCATGCACAGGTACATAAAACAAGCACACAGAGAGATACATACACAGGCATATATGCACATGTACACACACAGGCATACAAGCACACACCCATGTGCAGGTACATACACATATATACATGTTCATATATGCCCATGTATACAATACACACAAGGGCAAACATACATGCACGCATGAACACACAAATACACACACGCTTTGCATATACACACAATGCTCACCCACACATCTGTATACACACACATAACCATCCCTGGAAGTCTCACAGTTCTGCCATTGAATTGCTTCTCTCAGGAGAGAGTGGGTTTGTAAGATAAACTCCTTCAAAGGTTGTGTGCCCGCCAGCCACTAATGCAAGGAGCATAATTAAGATGGAAAACAACCAAATCCTATGAGGAGCAGAAGCAGAACAAGATTGGGCCAACTTGGTGAAAAGGCCTCTCTCCCCTGTGGCTTTGTACTCAAGAGCTCTCCACAAGCAGAGAAATAAGAGAGGGTGGAAAGGAACATATGAATAAAACAAAAGCTGTATTTATAGTGCTTTCCTGCACAACCCCAATCCCACCCCCTGCTGGCTTGACCCCTGGGTCACCTTCCACTCTGGGATGAGATCACCATGTTCCACTACATTCTTTCCCACAGGCTCCGAGTAAAGTTTGGGGAACTTGGGTGGGAATCGTGCTGAGCACTCAGTGCAGGGCAGGTAGAAGGGAGGAATCCCAGAACTATAAATCAGGGACTAAAGAGCCCTAGAAAAGCTGTGCTAACATTAGCCTTGACTCCAGTTGGACCTGAGGACCTTCGAACCACGGCTCAGAGGATGTGGATAGCATTGGGATGGCTGCATAACAGGCGTGTAACAGGTGTTTCAGAGAGCACCACACAGTGTTTGGTTCATTCAGAGCTAGGAAGACAGCATCAGTTTGGGAGAAAAGGAGTGGATTCATACTCACAAAGCCCTGATGAAGGACTCAAGCCAAACCCAAGTGGCCTGGACTTCAAGACATCATTCTGTCCATTCCAAAGAAATGGACGGTGGCACCAGAGAAGACTCAGAAACCCAGTTCCAGGAGCTGAGTCAGTGGATTTGAGGGAATGAGTTTGAGGGTTAGGTAGGTTTGGCCTATACATCCAGCCAGGTTGTCATTTGAAAAACGGAGCATGCACATTCCTATAAAATTGTAACAAAGATGAAATGAGATCTTGACAAGCAGTTAGTAGAGAGCCCAGCATGTATTTACCTCATCACTTATGCTGATGGCTGAAATGGGTGCTGATGCTGAAGTAGCATCTGGGGTTACAACTACACTGTCTGTTTCAGGCTCTGCTGGCTTATGGGGCTGAGGTGCAGAAAGGTCAACCTGCTGAGCCAAGATCAATGATGAAACTGAAGTGCTACAGGATGAACATGGTCCAGCAAGCAACGGAAGCTGCCAGTATCTCCCTTCTACTCCCATGCCAGCCACCACTGGCTAAGTAGAATGATGCCATTTATCTAGCTCATATAAGCTGCTCAAACCACTCATCTGCTTTAGGTTTTTTTCCTTTTCTTTTCTTAAAATTTACTTATTTTTATTTTACATGCATTAGTGTTTTACCTTCATGTATATTTGTATGAGGGTGTCAGATCCTTAGAACTGGAGTTACAGGCAGCTGTCAGCTGCCATATAGGTGCTGGGAATTGAACCCAGGTCTTCTGGAAAAATAACCAGTGCTCTTAACAGCTGAGCCATCTCTCCAGGCCCTACTCACCTGCTTTGTAACAAAGGATTATTACCATGCTACCAGAACAACTTTAGTGCATTATGATCTGCAGGAAGTATTCAAACCTGACCCCTTTCTGGCCTCATGCCTTCCCTGGCAGCAGACTTGTCTCTCATAGCCAGTCTCATGAGAACTGACATGTACCTATGTCAAGGTTAAACATAGAAAGCTATGCACCAGAAATGAGGGAAATAATGCAGTTGGTAAAGTGTTCACCATGCAGGCATGAGGACCTGAGTTGAATCCCTGGCAGATATATAAAAAGCCAGATATGGTGGCAGACATGCTTGCAAACTCATTGTTGGAGAGGCAGAGACAGGCAGATCCCTGGGTCTTGTTGGCCAATCAACCTAGCCTAATCAATGAATTCCAGCAGCTAGTGAAAGACACTATAAAGAGACAAGTTATAGGCTCCTAAGGAACAAAACTTGATGTTGTCCTCTGGCATCCACATGAACAAAACACACACACACACACACACACACACACACACACACACACACATCACATACACACAGAAAGAAAGAAAGAAAGAAAGAAAAGAAAGAAAGAAAGAAAGAAAGAAAGGAAGAAAGAGAGAGAGAGGGAGGGGAGGTGGGAGGGAGGGAGGGAGGAAGGAAGGAAAGAAGAGAAAGAAACAGAGAGAGAGGGAGGGAGGGAGGAAAGAAAAGAAAGAAAGAAAGAAAGAAAGAAAGAAAGAAGAGAGAGAGAGAGAGAGAGAGAGAGAGAGAGAGAGAGAGAAAGAAAGAAAGAAAGAAAGAAAGAAAGAAAGAAAGAAAGAAAGAAAGAAAGAAAGAAAGAAAGAGGAAAGGAAGGAAGCTACATTTCATATTGCATGAGAAATCTTGCCCTTCCTGGCTGTGGAAGGACCTTCTTCCTAAAGGGAGTGGCACTATTAGGAGGTGTGGCCTTGTTGGAGTAGGTGTGGTCTTGTCAGAGGAAGTGTGACATTGTAGAGGCAAACGTTGAGGTCTCATATATGCTCAAGCCACAACCAGTG